GTTATGTTTCATGACTATAAGGGACAAAAGTAATTTCTTTATAAAGCGTAATTTACTATCCGATTAATTCCTTACATAATTGAAGAATCTTTAGTGAGCAAGCTCCAATACCACTGCCATATTAAGGGGAAGAGCTTATGATAACCTTCTGGTAATCTTTTTCTTTTTAGTGAAAGGTAAGATTCTTTTCTGTAATGATATCCGACAGTTAATATGTCAAGAATGTATTTTAGTAACTCCGACCTTGACCTGGAATGTAGTGTCTTCAAAATCAATCAGAATCGTTCTCTCGTTACATATAGCCACATATCAAAGTCAGGTTACAATCAAATTTGAAGTCAAATGTATCTGATTTAGAATTCAGAATCCAAATTCCAGTACAAATTTTGGGCTATTATAAACAACCATAACCTTGACCTAAGATGTATGACCTCAAACTTTAATAGGGGTCTTCTTATTATTAGTGACAAAATATACAATTAAGGTTGCAATCCAGTAAAAATTATTTGATTAAGAATCTTGAAACCATTTTTCTGCATAACTTTCTGTCTATTCTCAGGAACTATGACCTTGTGTCCTTAGGCCAAGTGACCTCAAAATCAATTGTAATGGGATACGTTACCATATTTCGAAGTATGGTTGCAATAAGACATAAAGAATTTGAGTTAGCAATTGGAACCAAAATGACTGATGGGTTAAAAGCTATATTACCCCAAACCTTGCAAGTTTGCAATGTGGAGTATAATTAATCCGAGGACTGACGATAGAGGAGCAACTTATTTTCATGAAATTCTGAAGTTCAAGAGCCAAAATTATGTAAAAAGTATGTTAACATTTTGAACTGGACTTAATGTTCATAAAGGGCTCCATAGAACCCTGTGTCTTGCCCGTAATTGCTACTATCAGTGTAAAAGTGTAATGTTGCTTCCAAAAACTAAATAATTTTATCAGTAAAATACAAAGAACGAAAACAACTTATTTTCAATTTTTTGATCTGGTCTTTTAATCACAAAAGCTTCTGTCCAAGTTATGAAAATTCTATGATGGTTTGACAAAGTTATTGTGATGTCTAAAAAGACTGAACCTAAATGTCTTGCTTTTGTGTCAAAGGAGATATGGTGTGATTGCAAATGAGACAGCTATCCATCAGAGACCAAATGATGTGGATGGTCACTGTATGGCTGACAATGAAAATCCCACACCCTATGATTAGCTTTAAAAGGCCCTGAACTAACAAAGTGCACAACAATTCAAATACTAACAAGCATTCTGTGAGTAAAAAAATGAGTTATTTCCCTTTGAACAGAAATCTAGTAATTAATAAGTATTTCATCATAAATTTAATTCTAGGGAAAGTTAAATAAAATGCTCCGCAGGGCGCAGCTTGATACGACCGCAGAGGTCGAACCCTGAACAGTTGGGGCAAGTATGGACACAATATTCAAGCTTGATACAGCTCTGAATTTGGATTGTGATTAAATATTTGACACAGCATAGGTTTCTGACACAGAATGAATGTGGTCTAAGAACTTAAAAATTTTAAATTGGACATTCACCTATTATGGTCCAATATCCAAAATCTAAATACATGGTTAGATTCAGCATATCAAAGAACCCCAAGAATTCAATTTTTGATGAAATCAAACAAAGTTTAATTTTGGACCCTTATGACCTCAATGTGGACAAAGTTGATAACGGGGACCAAAAATCAAAAATCTAAATACATGGTTAGATTCAGCATATCAAAGAACCCCATATATTCAATTTTTGTTGAAATCAAACAAAGTTTAATTTTGGACCCCGATTTGGACCAACTTGAAAACTGGGCCCATAATCAAAAATCTAAATACATGTTTAGATTCAGCATATCAAAGAACCCTAAAAATTAAATTTTTGTTAAAATCAAACTAAGTTTAATTTTGGACCCTTTGGACCTTAATGTAGACCAATTTGAAAACGGAACCAAAAATTAAGAATCTAAATACACAGTTAGATTCGGCATATCAAAGAACCCCAATAATTAAATTTTTGATTAAATCAAAAAAGTTAAATTTTGGACCCTTTGGACCTCAATGTGGACCAATTTAAAAACAGGGCCCAAAATCCAAAAACTTAATACACGATTAGATTCAGCATATTAAAGAACCCCAAGAATTCAAGAATAAAACCCCATTGAAATTGATCAAGAAATAAGCAATTTATACGAAGTATCTTCTTTTGCACAATACTGTGCAATTGAATATTTCTTGCTATTGCGCAATACTGTACAATTGACAATTTCTTGCTATTGCGCAATATTGTGCTATTGGATATTTCTTGCTATTGCGCAATACTGTGCAATTGAAGATTTCTTGTTATTGCGCAATACTGTGCAATTGAAGATTTCTTGCTATTGTGCAATACTGTGCAATTGAAAATTTCTTGCTATTGCACAATACTTATTATATAATAATTTACACATCCTGTTTGGTGTGTATCTCCTACCATATCATTATTATTTGCTTTTAAATATTAATCAGAAATAACCAACTTAAAATGGAAAATTTTAAAAGAAAAAAAAAAAGGAAAAAAAGAAAAAGAAAAAAAAAAATCCCCCCCCCAAATTTTTTGAACCCCCTTATGATTCATCACCCCCAAACTAAATCCCAGCCTTCCCTTTGTGGTATGGTACCTTGCAGTACAATTTCAGAGAGATCCATACACTTGAACACAAGTTATTGTCTGGAAACTAGAAAAATGCTTATTTTTGGCCCCTTTTTGGCCCCCAATTCCTAAACGTTTCGGGCAATTACCCCCAAACTCAATTCCAGCTTTCCCTTTGTGATATGGAACCTTGTAGTACAATTTCAGAAATATCCAAACACTTACACACAAGTTATTGTCATGAAACTAGAAAAATGCTTGTTTTTTGCCCCTTTTTTGGCCCCTAATTCCTAAAATTTTGAGGCAATTACCCCCAAAATCAATTACAGCCTTCCCTTTGTGATAAGGAACCTTGTGGTACAATGTCAGAGAAATCCATACACTTACACACAAGTTATTGTCTGGAAGTTACAAAAATGCTTATTTTTGGCCCCTTTTTGGCCCCTAATTCCTTAACTGTTGGTACCATAACCCCCAAAATCAATCCCAACCTTCCTTTCGTGGTATTGAACCTTATGGTAAAATTTCATGGAGATCCATTCACTTAAACTAAAGTTAGAGTGCGAAAACCAATGTGTCTTTGGACGACGCCGGACGACGCCAGAGACGACGACGACGTCATACCAATATACGACCAAAAAATTTTTAATTTTTGCGGTCGTATAAAAATGAGTTAATTCCCTTTGAACAGAAATCTAATAATTAATAAGTATTTCATCAAAAATTTAATTCTAGGCAAAGAGCTTTACCGTAACTGAACAAGGAGAAAAGCCAAAATCGTGAAAATGAAACTTGCCCTGTAAGAGTGCAAACCTAAAGTCCCCTTCGACTTCGTCGGTAGGGGACTAATAAGGAAACAAACAAGTAGTCTGTAACAACAGATGTACTAACTACAAAACTATAAACCAATAATTAGGTAAATAAGTATCACAAATAAAGTATAAACTCAAATTTGGCCTGTTTGTTCCCTTTATTGTACTTCCAGGAAACAGTTGCCATCTTGGATAGTCAACAAGAAAATCTGACATAATATTGAAGTTAAACACCTTATGGATAGCCACATGGTTTTTGAGAAAAATATTGTTCACAAATTGAACATGGAGGTGATGGCTAATGAAAGGAAATCTTGGGGAAATGAAAGACACATAAAACCAGCAACATAAAGAGGTCATCATATATTTTCTACTGTGTATCATCTCCAGATATATATTGTTTTGTTGCTATCTAATTGACATTTGTACAAGATTTCATTAAACATTCAATGATAAAATAACTTGTCATGCTCAATTCAGAATAGCTTATGATAACTTAAACCATTATACCAATGTCCACATCAAGGATCCGGAAATTTTTTCACACAATTTTGGTTATTTTGAGATGATTGAAAAGTTGGTGCTCCTTTCAAATTGTCGATGTCAAATTAGATTCACAGCATCAACGAACTTGTATTGATGTTTCATCGCATTTACTAAGTAAATCTTACCATTTTTCTAAAAACCTTCAAGAACAGTTTAGGGAAGGCAACATATTAAATTGAAATGATTTTAATGACTCAAAATAGTTAATTTCTCAGACATTGCTTACGTTTCTTTCGATTTGACAAAATTAAAACCTGAAGGTTTGCGATAATATTAAAGTACGAATAATTCCTGATTCATTTCCGGGATTCGTTTTGTTTATCAAATTGACAGGAAATCATCGGCTTCTTTTTATTCTATTACCTTTAAAAGTGTTTGAATATAACAGATTATAGTTGCACTCGTTTATTTTAGCATGAAATCAATTTGCATTTTACGATTAAATATTTTCAAATTTGCTGAAGACAATTTCATGCATGCGTATTACATATATATAAGGCACATGTGTCACTCATGAAAAAAAACTTTTTTCTACGTCAATTAAAGTAAGGTTTATTTTAAAATCAGAATTGATGATTGTCTTTGCTGAAAGTAATTAAATAATGAATACACTTGTCAGGGAATTTTAATTTCTTAAAGATATTATTCTGAGCTTGTGATCAATGTGATCAATTGTCAGGTGTGAATTAAAACCACAGGAGGGCCCTCAGGATTATCAAACTACTGGAGTGGCAGTTTTATTACAGGAAAGGGATTATAAACAAAAACAAGTGATCACAAGTGGAAAATGGCAATCAAGAAACACGATTTCAAACATTAAGTCAATGAAATGACCGAAATTATTCCTGTTAAAAAATAAAATTTGTCCTAAATCCCAATTACTCATTTAGGACATATAGCTTTCATCTTAGGACATGACTGGCAAATATGACCGTTTCCGGACCCTTGGTCCACATGTAGTCCACAGATGTTTTTTATCCGAATAGAAACCACAACACATTTTATTTTTGAGTATTTTATTGATGATAGAATGAGACAGAAGTCAGACATATTGCACATTAAATACATATACATCTATAACATACATATATAAGTCAAATCTCAATGTTTTCCTTTATATCCAGGACTTTTAAATACAAAAAAAAAGGAAAAAAAGAAATAACATTTTACTATAAGGACTCAATTACAATATCAAAAATATCACTGAGGGACAATCATTGAATATCAAATCAATTAATTTCCTTTCGGTTTCTAAATTTATCTGGAAAGCAACTTACAATATATTGTAAAGAGATATTGTGAATTCATTATTATTCGTAGGGTACTCATTTTCGTGGGTAACAGTGAACCAATAATTTAAACCTTCAACGAATTACACATTTTCTATGGGATTGTATAAAGAATTAGTGAAAACCACGAAATCAAGTCATTTTATCCTGAATCCACAAAAATTGGTACCCATAGAAATAATAAATTCACAGTATGTAAATTCTCCCCTTCAAAGCATTAATGAGCCCTTAAAACAAGTGATCTGGAGGAATTTTTTTAAACTGGACTATTTTCAATAAGACATTCTTTATATTGGTTATTTCCCCCTTTTTTGGGGCACATTTCCTGAGTGAATGGGACATTTGGGGCATGGTCAACCTTGTGGGTTTCTTAAAATATATTAAATTAAAGTTCATGTTACATTATTGTCATAAAATGATTGTCAATAGGCTATTTGAAATTCACATTTTGCACTGATTGCCCTGATCTAATATAATTGTCCTTAAAGATAACTTGTAACAGGCTAACCATCTAAAATACTTGGCACGAAATGAAAAGATGTTAAAATAATTCATTACAATTCATTTTCAATTTCTGAAATATAGAAGTAAAGGAAAAAACAGTAATTCTTTTCTTTGATTTAGATGAAAAATATTTCCTAAACAAATAAACTTGGAAAAAAATAAGAGTGATCTCCCCTAGATTATGAAATGAATGAACAGAGTATACTAAATTGGCACAAAGGGACGATAAAATGAGTATGACATAAAAAGAAAAACAAATAAAGATAACAAAATAAATGCCAAAATATACATTTTCAACCTCAAATATTACCCTGAAATATCCATAAATAGATGACACATGATACAGTAACAGCATATAAAGAAAAGTCTATAGAAATCTTTTTGTTTTCTCTGGTCTTCCTACGTTTAAAGTGACTAGCTTTAAGGTTTCAAATTTTTAAGAAAATCGGATGTGCTCATTAAAAAAAATATCAACAGATGACTTTCTATATTTAACTATTAAACATTATTTCACTCACATTAAGTCAGCTTGAAATCTAGATATCTTTTCATATTAAATTGCCAAAATCTATAATTTCAAAAATACACAAAATAGGCTGACATTTTTTTGTATATAAACAGGAATGACCAGGAAAGCTTATGATTAACTGAAAGCCCTATAACGCATCTTTCTCTATATTCAGCTTAAAATCATAACAAAAGGATTAACATTATTATCTCCCTTTAAAATTATGTGTTCATGTTAATCATACACCATAAGCCTAGGAATAAAAAGAAAATATTGTCAAAATTTCTGTCTGATCATAACCATAACAGAAATACACAAAAAGAGAATTGAGATTTTACGATTTTGCCATAACTTTTCATTTATAAGGATTTTTGCTTTATAATTACACCTTATGTAAGAATTCTGGGTTTTGATTGGTTGATAGCCAGTGTATTTTTCACCAATTTACTTTTATCAAATGAATATCGTTCATTTTTAACAGCGCCGGGGTATATGCAAAAAGGATATGCCTTTCTTACCCTCTCTGCCGTGGTATTTGCCAAAAAATACTCTATCTAACTGGACACTTGTAATGTCACGATCATCAATGCATTTTATGTCACGATCATCAATGCGTTTTGTACGTTAACATTCGGTGTAATTAACATTTATAGCATGTTCTTGAGGGTTATTTGCGAAAAATACTAGTCTTGAGAATGAATTTCCCTCGCCTTACGGCTCGCGAAATTTAACATTCTCTCGACTGGTATTTTTCGCAAATACCCCTCCTTAACATGATATATCTGTTCAAAAACCCATTGAAATTTATGATGAACTATATTTCCTTTCAATGCATAAATACTGAAACTTGGAATTCTAGAAGTATCAATGAAACAAAATAAAAACTCGAGTCAGCACTATATCATCTTCAGAAACAAAAACTTAAAGCTTAATAAAGTAATCACAGATTTGCAAATAATTTTTTATACATAAACATACAAACACAAAATGCTGTGCATTTTACAAATATAGAATCACAATATATACATATTATATGACTTAATATTATGCTATTAATGATTTAGTCATTAGTCATAAGCTATGTTACTCTTAATATTATCTGAAACATACTTTGTTTACAATTCAAGCTAAAACCTCATTCAAGGAAAAAAATGATGAAAAAGATATATTCTAAAAATCTATTGATGACCATATCTTACTCCTGATCAATCAGATCCTACATTTATTTTCCCCTTTTGAATCCACGCCCATAAAAGCACCTGTTGAATAGCGATTCACCAAAAACCTAAATCATTTGCTTGCAGACATGACCCTGAATGATTCTGAATCATAATCATGTTTAAATCTAATACATCATTTGTGATTAACTTCCTCTTTCAGTATGTTCAGCATGGTACTAAAAGACCATTTGTATTTCAAATGATAACAAAATGACAACAAATTTACTCCAGAAATGAAATATAATTCCAGTCATTGCAAAACATAGAGCACTGTTTCATCCTCAAACTGTCAAGCAGGTACTGATCCAACCCTTATAACAAACACTTCAACAAAATTCTTTGCAAGAAATTCATTGATAACAACAAGAAAACACATTTACATTAGAAGCAAATAAATGCTGTTTGTTTTTCTCATCTTGACACGTCACTTGTCTTTGGTTCTGACGGCGATCCTGCACTAGATCGTGGAGACACAGACAAACGTTCTACAGAGTTAACCGGACTAGCTTCTGGTTGTGTTACTACATCTGGAGCTTCCTGAGGGGGGCTACTGGGGGCAGACTTCTGTGAGTCTGGTCTGAGTGCTGGGCCTGTGGGTGCTGATGAGCGAGATTTCCCACAGACAAGATGGTGATTTTCCCAGTCCTTGTGCTGACAGAAGGATCCACAGTAACGTGCTGTATTACATCCACTACATGTCTCACTGGCTTTCCTCCCACAATTCCAACAACTCTGAAAAACAATATTCAATAATTAAAGCCTTTTTCATTAGGTTATGTATATATCATACTTTAAAACATGAGAAATAAAAGATGAAAATATGACAAAATGCTTACAAATGTTAAAAGAATTTATTCTGTATTTAAAAAGACTTTATTGTGTGTAGGAAGTCATTTTATAATCGTTTTCACTATAATGATGGTTTTATTAAAACCCATTCCCTAATTCTAGCCCCTATATTGGTCAGTACCTCAATAGATTCCTCCTGGTGTTTTGGTGTTTATCAGTAATACTTTTGTATTTGACTTCTTCATGTCTATGTCCCTATTTTACGATTTAAACTTTCTATCTCTCCCCTAATTTTAGACATTTCTGTTCTATAATATAAGCTTTCTGCCCTTTTTTTAATTTTAGACCCCTTAATTATTAAGTACCTCACTGGATTCCTCCTGATGATTGACCTTTGTCATGACCTCTTCCTGTGCTTGCTTTCTAGCATCAGTTACTGCCCTTTCCATCTTAATTCTCTCTGTTGTAACAAGCTCATTAGCTTTCATCTCTGCTGCCTTGACAGCTTTCTGTAATTCTAACATTGCTTGTCTCTTTACTTCATTCACTGCTTCTTCTGGAATTGATTAAAAAACAATTAAAAATATTCCTTAAAAAGAAATTATATTAAGCTAAAATAAAAACTATTCGTGTATAGAATTTCCCTTACTATACATGTATTACATTTTTTAAAAGGCTTGTTCAAATGTTTTTATAAGCATTCCTAGCAGAAATATTGTGAGATAAAAAAAATCTCAAATAAATTGTAAGTAAAATTTGCCCATTAAGACATTGCAATCCTGCACCTTGAATGTCTTGTTTAGTCTAAATAACTTATAGAGGGAACAATATTAGTGTTACAGGTAAAATGTTCAGTGACATAAATGCATGAAATGACATTGGCATTAAATGTGAAATATTAGGGCCTCAATAGCTTGACCTTGTCTACATTTTAAAATATCATTTTTTTTTCAGTTGTTTGAATTTTTTTTTTCAAAACCGTCTATCAGATAAACATTGTCTGTGAAACTTTTTGCTTGATATATTTATACTGACTCAGTCTTTAAATTACATGTACTATAAATTAACTATAAAAGAAATTGTACAACAATATGTTTGTTTGTTTTTCTGTTTGGAAAGGTATTACATTAATTTATCTGAATGCAGTGTCCACAAATAAGACAATAAACTGACCAGCTCTTCTTCTGACATCAGCTACCCTGTCTTCAGTTTGTCTCAGTGTATGTGACATCATGTCTGATGATCTTTTCTTTAGGTCCTGGTCCATGCCCTCAGCTTGTCGCCTCATCCATAATGACAATTCCTCCCGATCTCGTAAACTCCTCTCCTGCAACACTGCCAGAGCTCTTTTTGTTTTGTCTACCATACCAATTATACAATTCAACATCTGCAATGAACAAAATAATTTTAATGTTATTGAATGATTGGTCTTGAGTTACCTCCCCTGGACTGCAATGGATTTACTCATTCCCATAACAATTACTTAAGATGACTAATAAGACTTCAAGTTAATGTTCCTGTTTAATATGCTTATTGTTTTGGTGAAATTGAACTTTTGAAAGATCAGTAAAATGTTGTTTTAACAGTTTTTTTATGTTGTAATAAGATTAGTTTTTCAAACCAAGTAAAATAAAAATAAAAAAATAAAATTAAATGAACATGTACATGATTTGTTTCAAGTTGAAGAATTTAAAAACAAGTTTATTGTGACATCCATAACAATTACTGAATATTTTGTTTTATGGTAATTTTACTGCAGTATCTTTATGTCCTTACAGTCCTTAATAGAATATATAGATTATTTATTTCTTCACTCAATAATCAAAATTTACACTGAAGTGTCAAAAACTGCCAAGGTCACTTCTAATCTCCTTTTTTGTTTACTTTATTTATTAATTAGTACTTACAGTTTCTACATGTCTCCAATCATCATCCATTCTGTCTAAAGGATCAAATGAATCAGACCTGGTGTAATCTGAAATAATAGTTATTGTAAGTTAGAAAAATACCTGTGTATAATTGAAAAATCTGTAAACTGAAGTCATTTCACTCAAAATTCAATTAATTTAATTATTTACTATGAATATATATATGTTTTTCGTTTACTGAAAATCACACTGTTGGTTTCTTTTTGAATTGTTTAACTTTTTTGTCATGTGGGCTTTTATAGATTACTTTGTAGTATGGATTTTCTCATTTGTTGAAGGCTGTTCGGTGACCTATAATGGTTTACTTCCTTATCATACCATCTCTAGTAGATAGTTGTCTCATTGGTAATCATACCACATCTATTATCTTCTTATATACCTTCTTTATCTACAAAAAGGCTACAGATGAACAAACCTGTTACCATATTTTCCTCCTTATGTAGTTGTATGGGGATAATAATAATATTCTCTACTACACTTACTGTTATATGAAGGGTAATGTTGTTCTCTATCATGTTTTCTATCTATAGGATCATGTTCCAATCTTGCTCTCTCTTGTCGCTCATGCTCCCGTAATTCCCGTGACAGATTTACATCTTCTAATCTGATTGGTCCTACATTGAGATTGAGTATGCCATTTGGACTGACCCGAGAGCTATGCAATCTTTTCACAGGATGATCTGGATGAGAGTCTATACCGTTTTCTTTTGGTCTGAAAGGAGCAAAAATAAATTTTGCTATATATTCAAGGTTAATTGTAAATTATGTATCCATGGTTGATGTTTTGGTAACTTTCACTAAGAGCTGTTCCATTTAAGTACCTGGGAGGAGGATGAAACGACCAGATATCTAGAACACTTCCAAACGATAAAATGTTGAAGAGACTATATAGATAAGAGGAATTTGGGTTCAAATTTAATTAAAACTTCAATCCAATTATCCATGTTGATGAAGGGATAACGAGAACCATACAGTTAAATTGAAAGGGAAGTAACTAAATTCCTATTTTGACATTTTTTTAGTTAAATTCAAAAACTATGTGCTTGATTTTTCACAAAAAAAAAAAGCAGTACGGTAAATTGCTATGCCTTAGATGACAAATTGAAAGTATAAGAGATTTATAAGTCTGCGGTTACTAATATTTATGTCAATAACAATTAAAAGAGAAATATTTCTTCTGTTTTTATAATATTCTTGTACTGGCTTGATAATAGAGTACTTTCTATACCTTAAAATGGATTATCAGACATAAGTTTTCACCTCATGGATTTTTTCCCTAACGTCATAAACATGTCATTAACATTCGTATGTTGTACATTGAAGCGAAGTTATCAAACAAACAGCTGATCACTTGATGAGAGTAAATTATAGAATGTCGTCATTAATTCACCACACTAAGTATAAAATTATTGCACACAAGAATATGCATAAACACTTAAATGAACTATACAGGTTTTAATGACATACTGGAAAGTCAGCAGATGTCAGTCAGTAGGAGGTATACAATTTATGGTATAAGGTCAAAATGAGGCCAGCACTCACCTCAGAGTTATGTTATGAGGATAGCACAGAAATAAATCATAACATTCTTCATCAAAATCTGTACGTTATATAATATATTATGTAACCAACCTGTCAGGAGATCTTCTCTTGCCATTCTCATTAAATTCACTGGAAAAATCTTGGGGCTCATTAGGGGGAGATGTGTGATCAAAAAGTATCTGTTCATGTTGGGATAAGTACTGCTGAGGTGTCTGCTTTGCCATTCTTGCACAGTGTAGTAACTCTCTCTGTAGCAAAGGTAAATTTGCCTGCAAAGTCAAAATTGGTTTATACCATATAAGTGCTGAAAGTATTGATGATAATACAGAGACAGATACCAGACAACTTATGTTAGGGATGCCTAAAAACTAAGGACACCTAAGGTGTCTGAAAAATAATCAATTAACATCAAGATGATCTCAGTGATTGATTTTTCCAAAAATAAAACTGTGAACTGTATACTTTTGCATCAGCAGTTTAGTCAATTTGCAATATAAAATACATGCTTTACTGCTACTTTACTTTTATAGTATTTCATATTTGAGAGAAATCAATTATACTATAGTTGTCTCCCTTACAACATATCATAACTAAGTGAGTTCTATCATTTTTTTTATGTTGATAATTGAAATATACCATTAAGTTATTAACTGTCATGTCAGATTACTAGTCTATCATAGAATTTGACTGAATGCAGAAGACTCCCTCATATCTTTGGGGTTTTTTTTTTGCCTTCATGTTGAAAAATTGCTATTTTAAGGAAGTCTTGCACCAAAATAGCTTCTGAAAAAGCTCAAATATCAATCTAAAATCTTGTTTTACTAAAATGTTAAATTCATTATCTATGTATACTTAATGTTGATTCATTTCATACAGTGATAAAATATTTTTTACGCAGGTGAGATGTGAACCTTTTTCATGAGCATGCAATCATCTAAATGGCCTACCTTCAAAAACGGTATCACAAATGGTCTTAATGGAAAATTTGTAGCTTCTTGAAGCTTGCTATGGAACTCCTCTATAGATAAATGGGAATTCTGAAGACAAAAAAAACAACAGAATTATACATCAATAGTAATGTAAATAAATATTTTAATTATGTTAGAGCTGATGTCTTATGAAATCAAAAAATAAAATTTCTTCCTGTGTGTTGTTGGTTTCCTATTCATTTTTCTATACTACTTAAATAATATATAGTTCAGCACAATAATTCTTCTTTAAAAATCAACTTAAATGGTTTTTGCATGTATTTTCTTTTTCTTTAATAAATATATGTAAGGCATGTTTTTTCTTGATCATTTTGTTCTAACCTTTGTAGTCAAGTCTTAGCAGAGAATGTCTGGATAGGAAATTCGTTTCTTTTGAAGTGGTTGCAAGAAGTGATGTTCTTTTGACCCTGTTTGCTATCTATGGTGCAATATGCAACTTTTGTGTAAGACTTCTAACTAAACAAAATAAAATTCTCCTCATTGAACTAGGGTTTGTCCTGATTTCAAAAAAACTCTCCAAAATGTCTGTCTGAACTCTAAATATTTCACTTACAACTAGTGCTAATACTAATGTCCTAACTCTCTCCCCAATCTCTGGTGAAATGTCTGAACCAAATTGTTGTAAAGTTGTCAGGAATCTTTTCAGTTTACTGAGCTGACGTGCTCCACATGCAGGAGGAAGTTGCTGACTAACAGAAGAGTTAACAAGTAAATTTGGTGACATAGTTCCACCGTTGATACTTCCAATTGGTGAATGATTTCCTGATGCTACAAGAGAATACAAAATTAAAGAAGTTATAAATTTAAGCACCACTGAAGTAATTATGCTATAAAGCTATTAAATATTATTTTGTTCTTTAAAGATACCCTAAGCTTTCTATTTCTCAAATATTCCAAATACTATCAGTCAAACAAAAACTGCTTCTTACTGGATTGTCTGGCATCATACATCTGGAATCACATATAGTATGCCACAGGTATTATTCAATACTCAAACATCCAGAATCACACATAATATGCCACAGGTATTACTCAAACCTCCATCCTTTTACTTTGTGCAAGTTCTGCTTTCTGCATGAGGGAGATACATATGTAATTTACTAATGTATGTATTAACCCTAAAAAATGATATTGCAATTATTTAACACTCTGTTGGCCTTTTTCATGAAGATAGTTATCACCTCAAATAACCTTTCAGATGCGATACAGTACCGTTAGGTACTTTAAAAATAGTTGACCACCTCGTTGGCGACAACACTGAAGGTCAAATAACATAAGTAATAAAAACAGCTTAGCACCTTGTGGATGCTCACAATAAAGGTCAATTAGCAATAATAACTTTGAAAAAAAAAATAGCTGACCACACTTAAAAGGTCAAATAACAATAATAAACTAGGTGACAATCTTGTGGATGACCACATATTATTCTGTCTGACCACTACCTAAACAGGATGACTACATGTTATTATCACCCGACTACTTATTATGAAAACAGGGTAGCCACATATTATTATCACCAGACCATTATGTAAACAGGATGACCAGTTATTATCGTCTGACCACTATGTAAACAGGATGACTACATAAATGATATTAGTATCACCAAACCACTATGTAAACAACTTATCTACAGGAAAACAATTATTCCACTTTCAATTAGTATCAGCTGTACAGGAAATCCACAACAGTACTAAAGTCTATAGGTGACTTAAGGTTATTCAGCAGCAGAAACCATGTGATAATAATGTTGTTAACCATGTGATAATAATGTTGTTTACCAGAGTTGTTTACTTGACCTACTTTTTCATCAAATTTTTATGTTTTATAAAGTTCCTAGGGTTTTCCTTGTCTAATTATATTCCAATGAACAAAAAACTTTTCAGAATGGAAAATTTTCAGCCATGCTACAATATGAAAGAAATTTGACATTATCTTATGAATTGGTTATTTTTGAAATCTCAAGAAGAGATTTTATATGAATTTATAGGGTTAAATATACTTATCACAATTATAATTTTTGCGATGAGAACTTGTTATGAAGGCAAACATATTCTGTATAATATAAATGTAAATTCATTTTAAGTATATTTAACCAAATTCATTAAAAAACTTGTCTTTTCTTTTTTTTAACATGTTCTGGTAACAAACTACCACCACAGCCATACCAAGATATCTACAGTGGATACCCACTCACAAGTACATGTACAACCATCTTAAACCCTGTCCACTTTTGTGTATTACAATAAGCCTTATTTACACAATGTAGTAACATCATGATCTTCAATCACTTTTACTAATGAGAATCTTATTATCTTTCACAGCAAGAATGAATTATATAAAGTGATTACCCACTGATACTAATCATATCCTATTTATACATAGTTAAACATTGATTAAATAATTACAGTGGAACCTGCTGGGCAAAAACAATTACATTTAACATCAAGCCATTCATATCTGGTAACATATTTAATAGATTTTCTCCAGATACTACTGTGATCTGTAGTCTTAAATCTGCATTTTCAATTTGTTTCATATGAATTATTCATTTACTTATTTATTCAGATTTGACATTAAAATATCATCTATTCATTCTTTTAATATTTATCAAAAGTATATTTTTTTGTTGCAATTTGTATCATTTACTGAAAATTATTTCATCAAGCTGTTTACTTATATTTATGTACAGTACTAGAAATTTGATGTCAAAACAAATATTTGTCTATCAAAATGTACAAAACCCAATAGTAATTTTCAGTTTACATCCACCCATTTTCATTGGATTTTCAATTCAGATCTTTTTTTCACAGAATTCCGAGATACTTGAGTGAAGATGAGTAATAGTAAAGAAAGAAAGTTCAGTCTCCTTGTCATATTTTTATATTTTTGTTGAAGAAACAATGAAAATATTGAAATAAAAGGTTTTGTGAGCATTTTACTCTGAATAATATAATTCTTTAAGCCACCCTCCTCCTCTCCCCCCCCCCCCCTCCCCTTGATCCAAGTTTTGTAGTAATAAGCATTGTGTATATGTTTCATAACATTTGGTTGAGGCAAACTAAAGTTAAGGTACGGAAACTAAAAATTCATCAATTTTTCCATCTGTAAAGGGGCATAACTCTAGATCGGTAAAAGTGATGCCACCAAAATTAAAACTTGATTTTGTGGTAATAAGCATTGTGCATAAGTTTCATAACATTTGGTTGAGGCAAACTGAAATGAAAAATTCAGCAATTTTTCCATTTTGAAGGGGCATAACTCTAGAATTGTAAAAGTGACGCCACCAAATTTCAAACTTGATCTGTGTTTTGTGGTAATAAGCTTTGTGTATATGTTTCATAAAATTTGGTTGAGGCAAACTAAAGTTAGAGAACGGAAACCAATTTCTGGACAAACAGATGGACAAGGGTAAAACTTTATGCCCCCTCCGCTACGACGGGGGCATAAAAATCAAATTAAATCAATCATATCAACAACTTAAACTTATATAAAAAGCACTCATTTGACTTTCTGTTGACACAAAATGTGTATATACTTACAAAGCCTTCTAATATAGTTTTTAATCAGATTCTTTTCTTCTAGAAATGATGAAACACCATGGTATATCTAGTGAAACACTTTTTACATGTACATGTTGTCAGTATGTAAATTAAATTTTGTACAATTTAGATTGTCTTGTAAACTGGCAGACATTTTTTATAACAATTGACAAATACATTGTCTAATGCACATCTACCACTTTCTTTTTTAATTTCTAATATCCCCCCCCCCCTCCCCCCCAAAAAAAAATAAGATGTAAGTATTAAGGGTTTCCTCATTATGAAAAATAGTTAGACTAAACACAAATATTTTTTATGTTTGCCCATTTCATTTTTGTTGTGGTGGACTAAAGCATTGTGCATAATCATTATAACTTATTTCAGTCATTTTAATTTTGTAATATTGTGTGTGTATGTACTGGATATGAAGCCACAGTTATTAAAGTGATCATTAGATTTCCATTATTTAACAAGAATGCAGAAGTTGATGTGCTATGCATACCCCAATTCATGATTCACAGTATTGGAAAATAATAAATAGGTGTTTGACAGATCCAAAAAGTGCTCACAGGTTACAACTCATCACTGTCGAGCTGCTGACCAAACATTACGTCATTCTATTGAGAATTGTTGTGTAGAAATGTGTGATGAAATTTTATGTTCCTTCAATATTTTGAAAACTTCATAGTGTCAGCAAACAGGAAGTAGGTGTCTTACAGAAATGAAAAGTGCCCACACATTACAACTCATAATTGTCCAGCTACTGACAAAATATGAAGTTATTCTGTTCAACAAAAGCTGAAAAAAAGTGTGGTGGAAATATTTGTTGGACAAATTAACAAAAACAGGGAGGGAGAACAGAGAGATGGACAAGATGAATGTAATATAATGATCTGTATACCTGGCAGAGCTGTTCCCCCTGACTGTGGGCGTGGCACATCTCTAACTGTACTGCCCATACCTCCAGTCATATTCAGTGGTGATTGCTGTGTTGGTGTTTTAATATCAGGTGACTCTGGCATAATGTTCTCACGATAATCTGTAACAACAGAAAGAAACAATTAACAGATAATCTCCCCTGAGTGTAACACTGTATAATAGAAGATAATCTGTAACAATAGAAATATATGACTGAGAGATAATCTCCCCTGAGTATTATACTAATGTTGTCTATATATAAAATGAAACCTGAAAGAGAAGCAGTATTTGTCATGCACCAGATCCGTGTCCCATGCGTTTTCAATGTGGATTTTCAAGCAGAATTAACACTAAAATATTGTTTTATTGTATTGTGGAAAAGAACATCAGCATGTTGCCAACAAAAGCCATATGCTTCACTGTAACACATGTACTGTGTTTTGTCTTATCATTACAAGTCAATGGGTGGTTATATAGCCAGTTAACATGTTATAAATCTATAAATTATCACACTGTAACTGTTAAACTATACACAAGGTATATTCATTTCCCCCCATTTTCTTTGTCAATATGAATACAGTTTTAACAACAGTTGAAAACTGACACAAATATCTTAAGACTATTTCCATGCCACCTGGATTTACTTGACTTTATTATGGACCCTCCTACACATTACATAAGTTTACACTAAGTAGCATTTTACTTCATATATACATTTGATTACATTCAAACTTCCTATAGAAAGTACAATTTTAATATAGTTATGGATGAATCTCTACTCTCACAATCTACCACAAATGAAAACATTTCAATGATAACTTAATTCCTAAAATCCGTTATTGTTGTACATGTGTCACAAGGCACTTTGTTATAAAATTCAAATCTATATATCCATGATCACTTGTCATAACCAAAGCCTCATTCACATTGGTGATTCACAAAACACTTTGCCACTTATAATAACCAGGATCAGTACGATTTGTATCACCCTAAACTTTTCTAACAGTAAAAATCTCTTCGTTAGCCACGAACAGTGTCTTCCTCCTGTTTTGGTGATGAATGTATAATGAAATAGTGAAAAAAACCATTAAAATGTTAATCTCCAATTCCTTAAAACTTATACAATACAGTTGTTACTCCATTTTCTCAACTTTAAACTGCCAGAGAGTGCACATATTTTTTACCATGCAAATAACCTAAACATTTGGTAAAGAATATCCAATGCATGTATAAATGTACGTACCCCAACCTTCATGAACCATGATTGTTATTAAAATGACAACAATTTTTTAAAATCCTTCTAAGTTGTATTACAATAATTTTATGAAACAGCCATTAAACAATTAATACCTGCATTGCCAAGAAGGGGGCGTGTCAGTTCCTCTTCCTGAAACTAGCAGACCATCAGATAGCTAATAAACAAGTAATAAAATCTCTTACAGATAAATCAACCATAACAAGTACCTGCATCTACTGTCTGTTATAACAGATGACAGGAGGCGTGACCGACATGCTCCAGGGCATACATCACTTCTGTTTACCCTGCTGGGACACAGGTGGACCCCCATGATTTTAATCAGTGACAGATTTAATGACAGAATGGAGATAATCAACTGTGTATTTTATGACTGTATTCACTGCTGGTTTCAATCAGTTTGTTTTCCTTGTGGATTAATATAAACCATATTGTGCCCACATATCTCATCAATTCTTTTTTGTCATTACAATAATCTTCCATAATTTTAATCATCTTTGAGTTTAGAATATTCATACTCATTTAATACGACTATTAAACTATCGTCAACAATTAGAGGAAATTGCTCAAGGTTTGCCGGAAGAATGATATAATGTTTTGATTTTTACATAATTAGGCATTTTTTTTTAACCTTGAATATATATTTTAATATATTTCATAAAATAAATAAATTCAATTTTACATATGTATTATTTGTGTCATTTTGCATTCTTTTTAAAAATGGGATATAAAAAAAAAGAAGATGTGGTATTATTGACCATTAGACAACTCTTCACCAGAAACCAAAAGACATAGAAATTAGCAACTATAAGTCATTGTACAGCCTTCAACAATGGCCAAAACCATACTACATAGCAAGCTATGAAAGGCCCCAAAATAACAAATGTAAAATAATTCAAACAAGTAAACAAATGGTCTGATTAATGTACAAAACAATAAAAGAAAAACATATATGATATACAGCAACACAGGACTTCAACCAGTGAGTATCAGGCTACTGACTTGGGACAGACACAAACAGAACGTGGCAGGGTTAAACATGTTAGCGGGTGTCCAACCCTCCCCCTAAACTGTGACATCACTTAAACCAACTGGACTGATAAAACATTAGTCGTATTCAATTACCATGTAATATTCTATATCACAATATTTGTTTTAAACAATTTTTTACAAATGCAGTTGCATATCAAAACAAAATTTTCAGATCAATATATCAAACAATATTTCAAATTTCAAAAAAAGCCACATCAATTAGGAAATATTACAGTTTAACCAAGGATTTGAATGTACTTATACTATACAAATCCTTGAGTTCACTTAAATTTCAATTGTATTTACAAAACTAAAACAATATCTAATATCCATATTCCCTAGTAAAAAAACAGGAAAACACTAGTTTACCAAATGATAGAAAAATAAGGTTAATACTGTACTTAATCATACTCACAATTGGTCATTAGATCAACATTGCTTTAGTATATCAATGTTTATAATAAATATTTCTAGGAAACTAATGTAATAAATCCACACAAAAAAATCACTGTTTGTCAGTCAAAACTTTGATGATCTACCACAAAGTGTCATCAATGTAAAAATACAAATATATCAATACACAAAACAAACTACATCCATCAATGAAAGAGAATGAAATTGGCAGAGCTACCAAATCAATGTGAAGTTGTTATCCATGTGTATTGCTTCCTCTTGGGAGTCAGATGTATCTTCTCATCAACCAATCAAAACAAACCTCTTAAAAATGACAAACAGTGGAGAGGCCCAGGTGGAGGGAACATGTAAGGTTATATCAGGTCACATATCTATTCTTTCTACATATGTGGTTAAATAAATATTTATCATAACAATTAAGTACATGCTATTAGGAAATGTCAAACCAATTGTAAAAATACTTTGGTCAAAGTATTGTTTTAGCCTGCAAATCAAAATAATCCTTCTTTTTTATGCATTTTTTGTCATTGTAGTTGAAAGATAAGGAGGATGGAATGAGAGATAGGCTTACTTATGGTCACCTACCAAAAATATCTTTTTTTTAACTTTGATTATAACCATTCATATAGTTTAATTAATACTAATACAATTGTATATGCTATTTTTTTAAGCATTCTTGCTTTTTACTGTTGTACAGCTGGAAATCTTGATTATTATTCTTCATTTTTTATTTGTTATTTTCTCATATTATAAACTTTTTTCCTAAAATGAAAAATACATGCCAAAGATACAAGTACACACGTGTAACTTACTAAATTTTAAAAATAAACAACTTAATTATACAAATAAATATAATAGATCCTTTTTTATTTCCAAATGTCAATCTACAAATTTCCTCAACTTAATGTCATCCATTATTGTTACTTATTTATTTGTACACACCCAAACCTTCCAAATTTAGACCTACTTTGTCAGTGGAGAAAAGTACATAAAAGTTTTCCTCATTCTTAGCCTTGGAGCCTCACAAATTAAAAACACAAGTAAAACAAACAAAAAACATATTAAATATGCAGTGGGAATTCAGTTGTTGGCCAAGAACCCAAGAATATAGACCAATTATCATTAATGAAGAGCAGATGGCTTGATACTTTGTACGGCAGAGTCTGGCTTAGGTGTTAATGAGTTCCGCCTTCCACTGTCAGAGAAAATTTGTAGAAAATCTTCCAATCTGTTTCCTATTACACATCACATTTCTTTCATTACATTCTAATCATTTGTGTTTTTGATGCTGGAGCCTTGTCATGTGGTTTAGCTTTTGTCTTCTCTTTGATAAGCAAATTCCGACCAATCAATTAATTTGTATCTTGAAAAACAGGTATTAAGGAATCGCTTGTTTCTAATGATAGCCAAACTAATTAACCAGCTATTTGTGTATATACACAAATAATTTACTAAATTAGCTAATTTATTTCTTCTGCAAACAATCTTTAGAAGCAAATTTGAAATATTTACAGTTAATCCTGAGCTGTTTGTTTTTACATTTACTTTTTGTGTTAATTTTCCTTTGATGTTCTGTATATCAGTTCAAACTGGATTGTACACAATTAATACCAGTCTTCCAATATCTTCCTTTTTTAATTGAGTTGCTATCAATTATTAATATTGGTTCACACTTGTGGTATTTTTGGTTTTGATCACTTAAAACATACTTAATTGATATTTCCCATTTGGATTCAATTACTTAAATAAATCTAAAAATTATAGCAAATACTTTAATTTACCTTCCTTAATTTTTTATTCTGATGGCTTGTCATTTGATTCCTATTTGATTTTACTTTCATAATGTTCATTCTAAATATAAACAGACTTTTTCCCCATAGTCATATTATTGACCATTTTTTGTTGGATGTAAGAAATTACTATGGAAGAAAAATTCATTTTCATTCTTTTAATGTATTGTATATAAATTTTTCAAATAAAAAAATGATTGTTTGGATGTATGGTTGCTTTTATAATATTCCCTAGTAGTCATTTCTATTCATTTCTGTAATTTGCTTTAATTCTCTGATGACTTTATTTAAGATTAAGAAGAAAGTGATTTTGACCTGCATGCACTCAATTTTATTTTGCTTCAAAATATAAAGCTTAAAATCATAGTAAAATTAGACTTTCTGAGTAGCATTAAATGAGATTTTAACATTGTACCATATGTCCATAATTTTTTTTATGACATTTTTATTGTATTACATGGAACAGTGTAATGAGATGTTTTAAAATTTCTATTTCAATATGAGTGATTTTTATTTTCTATTGTTTTGTTTATACTTTTCATGATCATTTTTGAATTTGCATTTAACAGTTTGGTTTCTGTTGTCTTGTATGTACTAATTAAGAATAATTGATTGTCAGGAAAATTCTGT